CATAAGCATTATTTATTTCATTCATAGTATTAGCAAGTACATTTAGTTTGAATAATCCATCAGCAAGGTAACCCTTCCCTACAAACATTCCCCTTTTAGTTAGTACAAACTTATTAGACTCAAAAACTAGTTTGAATCCCTTGTTACTAAAGATAGTACCGGAAACAAGATTCTTCCTTATATCGAGGACATGCAAGACGTCAAGGAGGGTTAATTCATTTCCAGAAGTGAATTTCAGAACACATTTCCCTATTCTAGCTACAATAGATGTAGATGCATTTCCCATAAACAGTTGCTCGTTCCCCTCGATTTTTTGGTACATAGAGAACATATTTCTGTCACCACATACATGGCGAGTCGCACCGATATCTATCCACCAATCAGCATGGTCAGATACAATGTTGACTTCAGAAATCATTGCAGCCAAGGCATCCACATTGTTTTCAATCAAGTTTGCGCGGTTGTTGTTGCCTTCGATGGCGACATTCTTGAGCACTATGACCTTGCTTTCCACAAACCCAGCCACTTCCCTTGATTTTCTTGAAGTCTTTGCCTTTCGCACCAAGGACAAAGTGTTTTTCCTTCTTCTTAGTTTTCTGGAATTGTAGCATTTGCTTTGATGAACTTCCTTCAACAACATTAGCCTTGGCTTCCATACTCGAAACCAGGCTCTTCTCATTTTTTCTGTTGTCTTCCTCAATTCTCAGCCTTACAATGAGATCCTCAAGGGTCATCTCCTTACATTTGTGCTTAAGATAATTCTTGAACTCTTTCCAAGAAGGTGGCAGTTTTTCTATAAAGGATGCCACTTGGAAAGATTCATTGATCACCATCCCTTAAACATGAATGTCATGGATGATTTTTTGGAGATCTTCAATTTGAGAGACAATGGACTTGGATTTTGTAGTCCAAAAATTTGCCCACGACAAATTTCTTTGAACCAGCATCCTCAGTTTTATATTTTTTCTCAAGTGATTCCCAAAGTTCCTTGGCTGTTTTGCATACCACATAGACATCATACAACGAATCATCTAATGCATTGAGAATATAGTTTCTACAAAGGAAATCATTATGATTCCAGACATCTATGGCCGTCAAAGTTTCTGCAGAAAAAATATTCTCTCCATTTGCAGTAGGCACAAGCTTGCGCAAAACATTAGCCAAATTCAGTGTTGTCAAATAAAACAGCATCTTTTGCTGCCATCTTTTGAAGTCTAAATTTCTCAGGCTTCTCAAAATGAGGTTTAGTTCCTGATTGTTCCATATTGTTCGAAGATTGTTGGAGAACAATTTAGAAACAACAAAATAACAGAGATGCAGAACCGAATTACTTATCTTTATTATTAAAAAATACTTGCAATACATAATGCAATTACACAATAATTACAAAAAATTAAAATGATACTAACTTGAATGAATTGAAGGTAGAGGCTAGCGCAAAAGGTATGTCCTTCGAACAGTATTTCCGCCACACTCTTGTGCTTTTGGTTCTACAACGTCTGCTTGACCAGTATACAACTACCTAATTCTACAACCCACACTAGATTATAGAACTCTAGTGAATTGCTTTGTATGTTTACTCTCTGGAAATTTTGTACGGAAGACAAGAAAGAAGAAAAGATAATGTTTTGATGGAACTGAAGACTCCAATTATATAGGCTCTTTCATACCTTTTCAAACACCTTTTAGATGTATCTGAAGCTATAGAACTCTTTCCAAAGATTTGTGTCTATTAATCAAAACTTTTTTAATTAATTTAATTAAAAACTTAATTCGAAATTAAAACTAATTGATTAGATTAATTTTAATTCCTTGGCCTTAGGGGGCACTTGGGGTCGAGGAATTAAAATTAATCTGGTCAATTAGTTTTAATTTCGAATTAAGTTTTCAATTAAATTAATTAAAAATGTTTTGATTAATAGACACAACTCTTTGAAAAGAGTTGTATAGCTTCAGATACATCCAAAAGGTGTTTAAAGAGATATGAAAGAGTCTATATAACTGGAGTCCTCAGTTCCATCAAACATTATCTTTTCTTCCTTCTTGTCTTCTGTACAAAATTTCTAGAGAGTAAACACACAAAACAATTCGCTAGAGTTCTATAATCCAATGCTGGTTGTAGGGTTTAGGGTCGGCCCATATTGGGATGGTGATATGGGTTTGGTGAACTATAATCCAGTGCTGGTCATTGATCACAATCCCATATTGGGCCGACCTGCTGGTGAACTATTTGGTGGGCATAGATTCATGAAACTGTTTCGGGCTTTGTTCCCTCAACTTGAGACCCGCAGTTCTGTGGATCCCACAGACGAGCTAGCAGAAAACACCCAGGGATTGTTAGGGTCTGCAGTGGACTACATGGTTTGCCTCCTCTCTGATATTTTTATGCCTACATATGATGGCCCTAGCAACTTTGCCAACAATCTCCTTGGACACCGCCTCTATTATGGCTTCCGGACCACAATTAGACTGGATAGGAAAGCTCTTGCTCCAATCTTCATTGATCGAGAGAAGGGACGGACAGCTGGTTTTGAAGAAGCAGTTAGGAAAGCCATGCTCAATACTAACCTTGGTGGGCCCCACAAGCGGATCCCGCCTGAGTCTTTCTATACAAATTCGGGAATGTTTCTGCCCAACGTCTCCTAAGAATCCAGCAGATGAATGTCCACCGGATAATGTTTTGGAAATTCTGGACAGCCAGTTGAGTGAAGTTACGGATGGCCTGGAATCAAATTCAACAATATCTGTGGCAGAAGGATGAGAAAGTAGTTGGAGGATTTTTAGCGGGTGATTGTTCCACGACCATACTGAATCACTGATGAAGCCTGGAGGTTGCCTAATTGACAAGGAATGGAGTTTCTCAAATCATACTCTGCCTTTGAGGTAATCATGATATCCATATTTTCTTTCTGTTTAAATACTTCCTTTGAAGAAATTTCCTTTCTTGACCTCTTTCACAAACAATTCCATGTTGTTTTACTCATCATTCGGATATTTACTCATCTTTCATGCTCCTCTTGATCATACAAGTTGATGACTGGTTTCTTCTTGATCATGATCAAGCGGCTGGAGTATACACAACACGAGACACGTCGATAGTTGACTAATTTGTTATGCTGCGATCTAAACATATACAATACATGTGATTTATTGTAATATATTGGTTTGACTTGCTTGTATGATTCTGCCATTTATGGCCATAGTCTAATGATTTTTCTATACCTTAACAAAATGCACAATTACTATAAACATTTTTTGGTATGCTCATTCCGGTTCTTATGCACTTGAGCTGATATATCTGTCCATTTCAAAAGCTCCCAAGCTCGAAGGAGGCGGCCTTAATCTTGTATTTTATGCATGTGTCAAATTGTGATTTGCAGTCTCGGGACATAATTTCACGTTGTTCGCGAGTGATTTGTCAATATAGGGGCTATTTCAAATCTCCTCTTGAATAGCTTTTTGTTCTACCCATTTGGGATGAGCTCTATTCCAATAGCCTACATTGCCAATCTCAAATCTCAAAATAGGTACATCTGAACTAACACTACTTTGCTTAGACCAACTCCAATGGTGGGCTAAAAGCCAAATTACCTTCCAAAATTTCCCCCCAAACCCACTCCAACCCAAGGGAAAATTTTGAGCTAAATGCTAAATGCTAAACCAATGCCAAATTCCCCCCGAAGTTTAGCCCAGAAATCGGGGTGGACTCTACCTAATATTTATCGGAATTTAAATTTTTTTAGATCAAAATGTTCATAAAATTAATTTACGATAGTCTACATATTTATTTTTTTAAAAAAAATTAATTTAACAAAAAAAATAGCCTAAATTCATTCTTTAATAATCCCGGGCTAAAATTTTAGGATAGAACGATTGGAGTAGAAAAGCTGTTTTTGGGCTAAAAGCTAAATTTTTCGGGCTAAAAAATTTGACTTTTAGCCCAACCATTGGAGATGGTCTTAGGGTTGGAAAAAAATCCCAAAATTCCCGAATTAAACCATAAAAGTCCCAAACTAAAATTCCCGAAATTTTCGGGATGACATACCGAACTGATTCCGAAATTTCGGTATGGGATCGGTATTGTCTTTTCAATGTTTCAGTAATCCCATACCGAACAAAAATAAATATTATATCTATATTATTATATATATTTAAGCTTTTCATTTTGCTTTTGGTTGGGAACTTATTTTATTTTGGAACTATAGTTTGCTAATTTAGCTTTTGGGTTTGTTACTCAACTTATTTTATTTTGGTTGCATGCATGTTATAGTTGAAGTTGAATTCAAGTACTGAAAAAGGACATTTGAATTGTTGCAAACTACTAGTAGCAATATAATTGGTGTGGTCTACAGGTAGTAACCATAGCCTCTTGCTCCATTTGTTCAACGCTGTCATCCAACTCTTGGATTTCTAGAATTTTAACTTTGCCATTTGGTCTACAGGTAATAACCATAGCCTTTTATCGCCACATATGCCGGTACAAACCTCTCACACACTCACCCTGCACTGTTGCTTCTCAACCAAATGTGTATATTTCTTCAATACGAAATCAAAAAATCGTATGGTTAGTTTTCAAACATATTTTGTAACTTATTTTTTTGCTTTTGGATTTGTTAATATACTTATTTTATTTTGGTTCCAAGTTAATTAGACTTGGTAAGAATGATTGGTATTCCAATTTATATGAAATTTGGTAATACTAAACCATCCCGAAATACCGAAAATATTTCGGGAATCTTGAAAATTGAGAATAGCAAAATTTCGATTTGGAATTGATCTTCAAATTCCCTCCCGAAAATTTTCGGTTTCTGATTCAAAATTCCATTTTCGTAGGATCCCATACCGAACCTCTGCTAGTTTCGCTACCACTCAAGTCCGACCGAAATTCAACAGGTCGACGGGTTTATAGCAATATGAATTTATAAAATATTGATAGAAGAACAAAATTTAAACGAAATATACAGAAAATGACCGCAATCCATTCGACAAAACAAGTCGTATGACTAGTGTCCCAACAAAAAAATAATCCACATTCAACAATTCATCCTTGCAAAGATGAGGACTATTCAGACTATTCTACCAAATTAATTAATTTAAAGCAATTAGTTGTTACTCTAAGATCATATACACCCAGTCATTTACAAAACATGGACATTTGAATCACGAAATGATGGAAGAGAAAAATAAAAAGGGAGTGCGGTTGTGTAAGGTAAATTAGCCAGAGGATTGTACACGCAACTTGTTGGCAACGTAGAGCAGATGGCTGATGTTTGTTGGAGGATAGTTCTGCAGTAGTTTGAGATTTGAGGTAAAATCACCTGCTAGTAAGCGCCTCCGAATGAGAATCAACATTGCACAGCATACTCGAAGAAGGGTTTCCTACAATTTGTTAGTTAGATTCATCGTTAGCCTACGAACGAACAAACAAAAGACAGAGCCAAAAGCAAAGGCAAACCCAAAAAGTGCGGAGTGACTTAGTCCTCAGGACCTCAACCACAAGCAAGATTGATATTTTTTTTATTTGGTCAGATATTATCAATGTTTAAAAAGACGCGCCCCGAGGCGCGCCTAGACGGCTTTGGAGGCGGGGTGGGAGTGATAACGCCTTTGCCCAGTGGGAGTGGGCGAAAACTTGCCGAGGCGTGGTCGAGGCGAGACTAGGCGGCTGAGGCGTGCCTAAAGGCGGTTGACGGGCGTTCCTAGATCCATCCGCGACCCAAAATTGAAGTAGAATGCTCTGTTTTCAGGCTCTGCCATCTGGGTTTAGGGTTGCAGGTGTGCGGCGTCTTCACGAGGAAGACGACCGCAAAGAAGAAGAAGAAGGAATTTTTTTTTTTTTTTTTTTTTTTTCTTCTAAAGACTTGGTCCAAAACGATGTCATTTTGGCTAAGTCTTTAATTTTTTTTTTTTTTTAAATGACTTGGCCCAAAACGACGTCGTTTCGGCCAAGTGTTTTTCTTTTATTTTTAAAACCCCAAGAGTCCCTGTTTGCTCTGTTTTTCTCATCTATTTCCTCTGTTTTTCTCACCTGTCCCCTATTATTTAAGATCTCGTAAAGCTTCGCCTCACGCCTAGGCCAGGCTATCGCTCGGACGCCTCGCCTACGCCTCACGCTTTTAATACATTGGATATTATTGACAATCTAAGGGTGGTGATTAACACCCTGAAAACAAAGGAGAGGTAATAATAAGTAACCTAAAGTCGGAAAGGATATGATACTACCTGAGGACCTTCGGGATCACTTAAAAGTGTGTCCCAAATGTGAAGGCTGTCTGCGAAATTGAATTCCTGGGTTAAGAGGAGGGTGATCCACCTAAATGCATAAAATTGGGGATTGACCTGTCATTTAAATTAAGAACCCAATCAGTCCTATATAAAGAATTCTGGCGACCTAAATATGATATTCTCGAATCACCTTGAAAACCTTAACATGATGAATATTTAAGCACTATTTTACTATTTCTAAGGCTGTCAACAGGTGACATAATAATTCTCTCAGCCATCTTCGAAAAATTATTGACTTTGATCAAATCTTTTAGGAGATTAGTAAAAGAAAGTGATAGGCAGTCACTGGATTAGCTTGGACCCAGAAATAGAAAGAATCTAATAACAAATTAGTTTCAAGGCAATATTTATTCGAGGCGTAATAAAGCACGTATTGAAAAGAAAATTAACATTAAAAACTTTGATAACAGATAATTTGACCTTTAAGGTTTTGTTCAAATTCGTAAAACATATGCACAATGATTACCTTATCTAGCTACAAAAATCAGTAAACAGAAGATACACCAAGTGTGCCACACTCGACCATTAGCCACCCATTTTGATTCAGAGAAAAACATATTCAAAGATAGAGAATGTCTTACTTTGGTTGTGATCTCGAGATGACGCCATAGCTCTTCATCATGTTCCTTCAAAAGTTGTGACAATCTTGTTATTGTGGAACGAATTCCAACAACACTATTATCGAGTTGCTGACAGAAATGGTCACGGAAGCCACTCAATAATTCAACAAAACAAAAGAACGTGTCTGCTTCAGCAGAGGCCTACAAAACTTGACATTTGGAAACAATGAGCAAAAGTGACCTAATATGATAAATAGAATGATAATGAAAGTGTTAATGCACAAAAGCATAATGACAACAAACTGACGTATATCATTGTGTCCATCCCTTGCCCACACATTAACACAATTTATCGTTCACAGCCAACACTATAATCAGTTGCTCAATATTTTCCTTTGTTATAGAGAAAACATAGGCAATGCTGAATGGTTTTCATGATAAACTGCTCTCAATTCTTTTTCTTCAGGTGAATTAAATTCTACCACCTGTGAGTTGGGGTCAACATTTGCCCCTTATTTTGTGCACGTTACCCTTTTTTCATAATTAAGCCTACAAGTCTGGAAATGTATACCATACGAATATATATACCAGAAGAACATGCATTTCAAATTAAATGAATGACAACCAGAAAGTCAACATCTCCAAACACCGAGTACCTAAATTTTAAATCTCACATAGAACATGCTATGGTCTGAAATTTAAATACAGAGTGGCTTGTAAACTAAATAGAAAAAACATATGGCACTCTTACCGCATCTTCCTCGTTGGGATCATTTTTTAATACATAAAACAGTGGTGCCAAAATTTCGTTCATCCCTTGAACATATCTTATACCAGGATTTAGCTTTGCAAATATAACCAGGATGGTCTTCAAAGCATCCTGAAATTGTTATATACATAGTCAGCCAAATGGCTTGTATTTGACAATCTTATGGCGGGTCTGTACCATAGTTTGAGCTGGACATAAAACAAAAACCTGATTAGATTTAGCATCTTGAGAGTCTCCTGAGAAGAAGTGCATGTCTGGATGTGTGCGCTTTACATCTCGGTCAATTTGTTCTATGATCTCTGTGTCCTACATGACCCAAAATTGGAGTTACATACAAAAATGAGGTTTTGCACCAGAAATTGTTACCACCATTCTATAATGGTACAACATGACAAGGAACTAAGATTTACACAAAAAATTGGAAATATGAGTTATATCAGACATATGGCCAAAACAAGCTATGCTCTTGACTTACAACTGAAGCACATCCCAATTATACTTGAAAACCTTGCGTCTCTTATCAATTCTGCCAAAAAAACAGTTGGTTTGTTTGTACCATAATTTTTATTACTCTGAAAAATATTTATTTACAGAGTTGGCTTATAAAAAACATTATTTTGCATTGTCCACATTATGGAATTGGAAGAAAGTTCTCTTGATAAATCAGTTGAGCAAGTTTGCTCGGTAAATCACAAGTAAGTTTGCTCGGTAAATCAATTGAGCAAGTCAAATGGGTAATTACCTGGAAGAATTGATTCCAGACACTGGACTTCCCAAGACTCAATGGATGCTCCCCACGAGGTATTTCAGATCTTGATAGCAACCCCTTGCTTTGACATTTTAATTCATCATTGTCACAAGTAGTGCAGTTATCCATCTTCCTTGCGATTTCTGACTGACTAGCCAAAGGAAACATTCAGAAAGCCATTTATCACAGAATTTAAAAAATGCAAAAATGTATGAACCACATAGCATATTAAGACCTTTCATTTTTCAATTTATCTTAACAAATTAAAATCCCACAAAGCTGGCTAAGCAGTCACCAAGAAACATGCAATATAAAATACTACAAGGAGAAACAAAGATAACTGTACTGCCATGGATGGCAAGACTAACATTTGCAGTAAAACTTGGTGGGTTACGCTCCTCTCAATTTCAGGAATGAATTTAATGACATAGTCTTTCCAGGACAAAAATTGGCCGCTAACCAATCCTTTCACTAATAGGATTACCAGCTGATGCTTGAATCTTATCAATTTTTTTTATTCTTCAACATCTCTATGAATTTGAACAACTGTGATTAAAACTTTTGGCAACTTTCTAGAGAAATGTTTGCCCAATATAGAAAAGCGTTAGCTGCCCTTCAGATCAAAGCAACCACTTAACTTTATGTCATCAATCTAGCTTTTCTGTTTGATCTTCAAAATCCAAACAAGAAGATAAAATGACAGAGATAAAACAGTAAACATGACTTACAGGATTCATCAAAAGCTCAACTTTAAAATGCTTGTACTGTGACCTCTTTTTAGCTAACTCGGACAACCAAAGTCCCCGATCCGGTGGTAGATATCCGAGTAAAAGCTGCAAGGAACAATTACCAACCATTAAAACTAATCCAGTTCCTTGTCTGCAACAGGTAAAATCAGAATTGCACACTTCTTTTACTATGTCCTGCTCCATCGGCTAGATGCGTAACTCTCAAGTCCTCAAGCATCATTCTGTCCATCATGAAGCTAAATTTACGAGAAATTGCCTACATTTTCTCTAGAAACAAACACGTCCTAAACACTGAATGAAATCAAAAAAAAAAAAAAAAAAAAAAACCGAAACATTATCACCTTCCAAACTGTAGACCGTATCCCAGCACCATCTGGTATGCCCTGAGATGAAATTCTCCGCAATTCGCGCAAATTAATCACCTTCCTCGACAGCTGCAAACACAAAATTAAGAAAAACCCAATCATTCATCAGCAATACATGCACAGGGAGAGAGAGTGAGCGGCAAACCTCGGCCAAGAGCTGAGACTGTCTGGAGATATCTTCGGGGGATGGAGCAGTGTTGTTGCTCTTGTCTTCGTGATCCGGAAATGAATCTGAGAATTGGGGCTCGGGAAGATGCTTGTCTTCTCTGGTGGATTTGGGAGGGGCAACAGGGATTGGTGGGTCAACCGTGGAAGGCGGGTCAGAGTCGGAGACAGAATAACTAGAAATTGGAGTGGTGGTGGCGGCGGCGGCGGCGGTGGGATTGGAGGTGTAGCGTTGGACGAGATCATCGTCGATGGAAGGGGAGGGCGTGGAGGAGGACCAGAGCGAGCTGTTGAGCCATTCGGGGACTCGTTTCTTCACCATTTGAGGTGAGTGAAACATGCAATTTGGGGGAATTTGATCGATTGGATTGAATGTCTAGGGTTTCTTTATTTCTTTTTGGAGTGTTTCTGTGAGCTGACAACGGAGCTTCTTTCTTCTGCTTGTTTTGTCACCACGAGTCCCTTGTCGGAGGAAGAAAGACGAGTGCCGGTAACACAGAACGGAGAGAGATTGATTGAGGTGAGGTGTGTGCTTTGACCTTTTATTTTTTTATTTTTTTTATTCTTCACAAGTAATATTATAGAGTTTTAGCGAAAAGTCTGTGCTACTATTTATTTTAACAAAAAATTACATTTTTACACTAAAAGGTCAAACCTGATATTATTTACTTTACCTTTTATTTTGTCCTTATAGTTAAAACTCAAAGTTTTCAAGCTCTTTTCATTAGTTTTCCTATAATATTATCTACGTTATGTTAGGAAGTGTGCTAAACCTCATAATAGGTCAATCATAATAATATAGTTCAAATTCACCCCTTAAGACTTGTCACTTACAAAGAAAAAAGAATATCATTTATCGTAGTAGTAAGGGTGGGTTCGGTAATTTTACTGTACCAAAACTCTTGTACCAATTATCATACCAAACGTTTGCCATGGAAAAATTCATTACTATTACCATACTAAACTTTTGGTAAACCAAATTTTGGGATGTCAAAATTTTCGGTTGGTATGGTATGATAATAGCTGGCACACCCCGACCAAAGTTGAGGCATGCTAGCCGTCACCGGAAGATGACATAACCAAAAGTGTGAGTGATGAAAAAATGTGAATAAATTAAAACCAAAACTAGAACTTATTTAAACTAATAAAGTGAGTGTGCAATAGTGGGTAGAACTCATAGAATACAAACGTTCAGAGCATGAATGACAAATAGTGTAGTCGAAACTAGTTAAGTACTTAATACACAACGGGAACAGTTCCTAAATTTAAACAGGGATATGTCAGAATCGCCGACTAATCCTTGTACGCCACAGAGTAATTCAGTTATCTAGGACCTGAAGGGGTGAAAAACATAAGGGTGAGTGGGCAAAAACAAAAGTTTATAAAATCCATTTATTTTCTGAACATACTAACCCATCGCTGCAAAACATGTATAATTTCCAAAAAATCATATTATGTATAGGCATGAAATCAAATGCAATCAACAGTAAATCCAGAAGTATGTCACATCACAATATCTCAATAGTAATATAAGTAAAATTAGGGGTTCAATCAATCTATACTAGCACATAAGTTGGAGTCGCCTAATGCGACCTCATCAAGCTATGCTAGCACATGAGTCGAAGTCGCCTGATGTGACATGTACGACAAGACTGGGTGTAATCATAACATACGCTCTAGTGCTACAATCACGTGAAGACTGGCGCTAATTGTGGTTACCTATGAGTCGAAGTTGCCTAATGCAACTTGTACAACAGGACTGGCACCTACTTGGATCCAACGTGAGCATGCGGTGCGGAGGTGAACATACACGTTAAAGACTGGCCCTGACCTGGGGTGCAACAATGATGAGCAAACTACATGAATATAAGCAAGCATAACAATTCAATAATTCCAATCAACATAATAAACATACCTGACAATAAACTTACCTGTGCATCCCGTAGGATTATTTTAGTATTTCACAACAGTACAACATTTCTTATAACGTTATTTAATTATGGCATGATATGCATAAATCAATTCAAAAACATTTATGGAAATTATAAAGTTTACACACATACACACACACACACACACATGGAAACAAATGCCCACTCATTGATACGTCGATGGATCGTAGCTCCTTAGCCTCACTTGTCCTCGTACGTTCTCAGGGTAAGTCTCCCCTATATGCGAAACAACTAATAATAATTAGTTAATTAACACATACAACTAAAGCTAGGAAAAACCCCCCATAGTTTGCTCAAACGAAAGGTTTAAATATACGAAAACACTCTACATGACGTCATGGACCTGTATGTGTTAACCATTCGCCGGCCGGAGGCCGGACGTGCCCTCATGCGCTGCCTAACCCACGGCCATAGGTACAGGTTAGATGTGATAGAAGCCAGGGAATAGTCCGTTAGAGTTGACGAAATATCCTGTTAAATAGTAACAAAACTTAACAACGTTACCTGACGCCATTAGAATATTCCGGTAGGCCTTGCCATCCGCCGCTGGTGCTGCCGTCTGATTCGCCGGTTTTTGGAAATTTTCGCTGGTTTTTGGATAAAATTTCAAAACCTCATAACTTGTTCATTTCTCAACTATTTTTGAAGAAATTTATATTGAAATGAAGCTCTTGAGGAGTAGAACAAGTTTATACCTTTTGGAAGTCCAAAAATGGACGAGAAGAAGCTTGAAAATGTCTCAAAAATCTCAGCCTAAAACTCAACTCCTTGAACACATGTGTTCTCGCGTCAACTCCTCTCCAAACTTAGTCAAGGGACTCTAGGGAGTTGACTAGATGCTTCCACGACCTTCAAAAAATTGTAACTTGGCCGGGATCACGTAGGAGCAAACTCGTCCGAGTCGGAGCTTCCGAGTTGACGAGTCAAAACTCGTCCATTCGACGATTTGTTGGTACGGCTGGGTTCGTGGTTTCGAAAGGAATGCAATGGTGGTAGTTTCAAGTCCGATCTAGGATTTTTAAGGTGTGATTTTTGTTGTTGCACAGGAAATAAAGGTTCGGTGAGAGAGAGAATGAGAAGAAGAAGAGAGAGAGAATGAGTCTGTTCTGATTGGGGGAGATAAGTGAGAGATAGTCTGATTGGTTGAGTGAGAGTGTGGGTGAGTTTGATTGGTGATGAGGGATTTAGGGAAAAACAAGTGAATGTTAGGGTTTTAGGGGTTGTGATTGGTGAATGTGTGAAGAAAGGGGACACAAATCCTACTTTAAAAAGAAAAAGAGATAAAATTCGTACAATTTGAAATCAAACATAATCTAACTTTATATCTGAAACAGTGTTTCCAACAATGAATAATTAATATGCATGTGTACAAATCTACTTGTTGTTTACATACTTTAATGTAACATAACTTTTTCGTTACCACTTCGTTTCGGGTCTAGTTCATGCTCACGCGATTGTAACAACGAGTACTATTTAATTACGATAACAAGAAAATAATTTAAATTCAAATAACCACGTCCACGTCACTTTGCCAACAAGGGCATAAACATCAATTTACATACTCGGGGAGAAATTACATGAAAAATTAGGGACGGGTCACCACAACCTACCCCCCTTAAGAAAAATTCGTCCCCGAAATTTCAATACTACTAAAGATCATAGTCAAAGAACAAACATGGATAAAGATCTCACATATATTCTTCTATCTCCCAAGTAGCTTTCTCAACAGAGTGGTTTCTCCATAAGACTTTCACCATACGAACGGTCTTGTTCCTGAGGACTTTATCTTTCCAGTCAAGAATCGTCATTGGTACCTCATCATACGTCAAATTCGGGTTAATCTCTAACGGCTGAGGAGGAATCACATGTGATGTCAAAGATGTATCTCCATAGCATGGACACACAGAACACATTATGCACCCTCGACAACTCTGGAGGTAGATCAAGTCGGTAAGCAACTTCACCAACTCGCTCAATGATCTAGTATGGCCTGATGTAACGAGGACTTAGCTTTCCTCTCTTCCCAAATTGTACAACGCCTTTCCACGGCGATAGCTTTAAGAATACCCAATCTCCAACCTTATCTACTTTGTCGGTCGAATGTCTGTCTGCTATACTCTTTTGTCAATCTTAGGCTGCTTTCAAGTTTGCCTTTATCACTTGAATGCTATGTGTCATCTCATCCACAATTTTAGGACAAACCAAAACTCTTTCAACGACTTCAGACCAACACAATAGGGTACAACATGGTTTCCCATACAATGCTTCAAATGGTGACATACCAATGCTGGAGTGAAAGCTGTTGTTGTAGGGGAATTCTATCAAAGGTAAGCGCTTATGCCATGTGTCTCCGAACTGTAGGACTGAAGATCTTAACGTGTCTTCCAATGTCTGAATAGTTCTCTCTGATTGCCCATCGGTTTGAGGATGATAGGCAGTGCTGTAAAGTAGTTTCGAACCTAAAGCTTCTTGAAAAGCTACCTAGAATTTTGAAGTAAATATGGGGTTCCGATCAGAAATGATACTAACTGGAACACCATGATACTTGAAGATTTCTGAGATGAAAAGTTTGGCCAACCAGCTTAGCGAGTAATTCTCACGAACATGTAGGAAGTGTGCTGACTTGGTAAATCGATCTACTATCACCCAAATACCATCATAGCGATTACGTGTACTAGGCAGCTTGTACATGAAATCCATTGTGATATCTTCCTATTTCCACTAGGGTATGGGAAGTGGTTGTAGCAACCTGAATGGTTTCTTTCTTTCTGCTTTAACATGCTAACAGACCGAACAATGACTCACGTACTCCTCAATTTCTCTTTTCATTCCAGGCCAGTAGTAGAAAGGTAGGATGGTACGATACATTTTACTACTCCCAAGATGCATCGCATAAGCTGAGATATGTGCCTCATTGAGTATTTCTTTCTTCAGTTCTTCAATATTCGGTACATACATATGATCGCCTTGCATAAGCATACCATCAGGCCTTCGAATCCTGATATCTCCCCTATTGCCGTTCAACACTGCTTGCTTTAACTCCTGGGATTATGAATTATTCATCTGAGCCTCAAGAACATGATCAAACAAAACTGGCCTGACTTGAAAATTGGCAAGTAGAGCTCCATGGTGATCCACTTCTAAAGCTGCTCCAGTAGATCTTAGGTCAGTGAGAAGAGGAACACAACATGCATAAAAAGTATAAAGTCGACCGTGAGATTTCCTGCTGAGAGATCTGTTACAATATTCACACGACCAGGGTGATACTCAATAGTCCAGTTATAATCACTGATCAACTCCATCCACCAACGCTACCAGAGATTAAGTTTTTTTTTAGTAAAGATATACTTGAGGCTTTTGCGGTCGGTGAAGATTCGACACGTGTCTCCATAAAGATAATGCCTCCAGATTTTCAAAGTGAAAACGATAGCTGCCAATTCAAGATCATGAGTAGGATAATTCATCTCACGAGGCTTTAACTGTCGTGAAACATACGCA